CCCCCTCACTGCCCAGTGTCCAGGAGACTCCAGCCCTGACTGTCCACACTGCCCCCCTCACTGCCCAGTGTCCAGGAGACTCCAGCCCAGACTGTCCACACTGTCTCCCTCACTGTCCAGTGTCCAGGAGACTCCAGCCCGGACTGTCCACACTGTCCCCCTCACTGTCCAGTGTCCAGCAGGTTTCTGCCTGGACTGTCTGGACCGCCAGTTCCGGAAATGCTGACATCAAGCGGAGACGCGCAGCCGGATGACGCCTCGCTGGGCTGAATCGAAAGCGATACCGAACCGTCCCTCCCGGCCAGGAATCGGTAGGGACTTTCCGCGCGCGAGAGGAATTCCAGAAGCTTCCCAAGGGCTGGCCCCCGCGTGCCGCCCTCTCTCCCGGGGACACGGGGAAATTCACACGCGGCGCAGATCCCTCGACACCCCGATACCCCGATACCCACGGACAGCCCGCCGGCAGTGTGTCCCACTCATGGGCGTCTAATTCAGAACAAGACAGACATAGACACGGCTTCATAATACTACTACTAATAAGAATACTTCAGCTTCATAATACTACTACTACTAATAACAATACTTCAGCTTCGTAATACTAATACTACTAAAAATAACAACAATACTTCAGCTTCATACTACTAATACTTATACTACTAATAATACTTCAGCTTCATACTACTAATACTGCTACTACTAATAACAATACTTCAGCTTCATAATACTAATACTACTAATAACAGTACTTCAGCTTCATAATACTGATGCTACTACTAGTACTTCAGCTTCATAATACTGATACTACTACTAGTACTTCAGCTTCATAATACTGATACTACTACTAATAACAATACTTCAGCTTCATAATACTAATACTACCAGTAATTCAGCTTCATAATACTACTACTACTAATAATAATAATACTACTTCAGCTTCATACTACTACTAACAACAATACTTCAGCTTCATAATACTAATACTACTAATAATAATAATCCAGCTTCATAATACTAATACCACTAATAATAATCATTCCTCACACTTACACAGCACTTTTCTGGACACTCCACTCAAAGCGCTGTACATTATTATTATTATTATTATTATTATTATTATTATTATTACTTTCTGGTTCCGCTGGTCTGAGGTGAGGAGGTGCTGACGCGCGCTGTCGCCGGCAGGGGTCACCCTGGAGGGTCTCCGTGCGTGACCCGGCCGTCCGTTGCCAGGCGACGGGAAAACACCGCGAGGCCCGTCAGGGACATTGCGTATTAGACAGTGCGTGGGTGACACCTGGTGGCCAGTACACGCCACTGCGGCCCCGGACACGCCTGGGGCGGCCAGGACAGGGGAGAGAGGAGGAATCGGGGACCGTACTCGCGGGACAGCAGAGAGGGAAATGTCTGGAGAGAGCTAGGGAGCTCCTGCAGCTGCCTGAGGCTTAAGGGCTCAGCGCCACAGAGTGCAGCCCGTACACCCTGTACATCGAGGGGCGAGAGTCTGAGGCACCAGGAGGAAGAGTCTGACACCAGGAGGAAGAGTCTGACACCAGAGGAAGAGTCTGTGACGGGCAGGGGAAACAGCAGGATGCAGGGCGTTGAGTGAGATAAGATGCGCCGGGCTCGTTCCCCTCACAGCAGAGCGAGAGAGCAAATGCAGTTCAGACATGACGAGGTTCAGCAGGCTGAAGCTCAAAGCATTTTATACCAATACAGAGCTGTCTCAATGCCCAGTGACCCCAGCTGGCCAGTGACCCCAGCTGTCCAGGGTGACCTGTCTCTCTGCCCTGACAGAAATCTGACAGAGCCCACACAGGACACGTCCACCTGTGGTCAGAGTCCCCAGATACCCCCAGATGCACTGAAATGATCCCACAGTTTGCTGTGTTACGGAACGCAGGAAAAGGAGCTGAGCTGCTCTCACAGTCTGGGAAATGATCCTCAGAGTTCGCAGTGTTATAAAATGATCTGCTCTGTTCCCGAATATTCTGGAATCGTCAAAAACATCACCAGTACTGTAAAATGATCTCACCTGCTCCCTTATGTTCCCAACTGCCTACTTGGAGATATCCTTACCCACTCCCAAAACCTACCCACTATCTCTCACAGTCCAGGGATGATCTGGGCGACTCGAGCTGCGCCCTCACACACACACACACACACACACACACACACACACACACAGTGTCCCTGCGCGCCCGTGGGCAGGGCAGGGCGGTGCTGGGGTTATCGGGGCTCCCAGACGGACAGCCGTCCGGCAGGAGGAAGCAGGAAGGACAATCTGTACCCACAGGAGGCCAGCGGACACGGAGTTATTCCGGGAGGCTCTATGGGCAGTGTCGGTCCCGGGCTGCACGCAGGACGAGCCGAGCACCCTGAGCCCCGATGGACGTCCACTGTCCGGCTCCCTCCGGCCCCGGTCCATCCATCCTCGCCTCTCTCCCTCTGGCTGTGGCCTGTGCTCTTCTGCTCCTCAGCGGCCCCGTCGCTGGGAAAGGTAGAGGCTCTCTCCGCTCGGCGGGCGGGCAGGGTGCTGTTGACAGCACATTGTGTTGCTGTGCTGTTGTACAGGGGTATTCACGTTGTGGTATACAGTGTGTTGCCGTGCTGTTGTACAGTGTTTTCGAGCAGTGTGCTGTGTGTGTCACTGTGCTGTGTGTCACTGTGCTGCTGTACAGTGTGCTGTTGTGTTGTTGTACAATGTTTTCGAACACTGTGCTGTTGTGCTGGATTGTGTTGTGCTGTTGTACAGGGTGTCACTATACTGTTGTATAGGGTGTTGTTGTGCTGTTGTATAGTGTGTCTCTGTGCTGTTGTGCAGGAGTTTGTTGTGCTGTTGTACAGGGTTGTGCCATGCTGTTGTACAGTGTGCTGTTGTGTTGTTGTACAATGTTTTCTAGTTTTCTAAGGGTCACTGCGCTGAGGGTCAGTGAGGTGAGGGTCACTGTGCTGTGTGTCACTGCGCTGTGTGTCAGTGAGCTGAGGGTCACTG